CGAACGACCTCATAAGGTCCCTTGAATTTAGGAATAAGTTTCTTATTCACGCCAACGGAGGTATCGATATTTCGTATCATGACGAGATCATTCACGAAATATTTCACTGCAACTTTATGTTTTTTATTATAATATTCTTCATTTGCTTTTTGACTCTTATTTATTTTATCAGAAGCTTGCTCCCCTCACGTTTTCGAAATCTCGATCCTCTGCCGACGATTCAAGTATGTCTCGAAGTGAATCATTTATTTCTCCTTTCTGAGAAATACCGAACAATAACTTGCTGGGAGTTGTGCCTGTTGATTTACATACAGTATTATTTAACGCAAACTCCACCTTTCCAACGACACGATCCCATTTATCCACTGACTCACACGATTTTGCTAACATTGGTGTTATTGCACGATTAAATCGTTCTATTTGCCCATTTGCTCGCGGAGTACTCACAGCCACCAACACATGCTCGACATTCTCATCACTCATAAAACTCTTAAATTCGGATGACGTGAAGGCAGTCCCTCGGTCAGAAATAATTCGCTTTGGTCTACCGTATGATCGGAAATAATCGTTTAAACATTTAATCACTTCTTTCGATGAGGTTGATTTACATGGGTACAGGCGGATGTATTTGGTAAATGCATCAATCACACAAAACAATTGTTTTACACTGTAAGCCGCTTTTTCGAAGGGACCCAAATGGTCAACATGCAATGTGTGAAAAGGTAGATTACCTTTAGGCAAACTATGCAAATAACCCTCCTTTTTCACACCATTCGTCGAAAACTCCACACATTTCAAACAGTTTGAAATATAATCTCTTACTTTACTTCTCATCTGCAGAAACCAATACACTTGCACGATACTTTCAACCATCTTGACCACACCAACATGACACATGTCGTCATGACACGTTCGTATCACATTCGCTTCCATTGACCGTGGGACGTAAAACAATAATTTTCCTTTTGCATCTTTGCGATAAACGAGACCATCACACAATGCGAAAAACTTATCCTCCTCTTTCTCTAACCTATCACGGACCTTACATATTTCGTCGTCGCGATTCTGTCTGACAGCTAGTGTACGCTCCAAAGTATTTCCCTCAACTACCAATACATTATTATAGCAACGGCTTAAAGCGTCAACATGCCTCATGCCTTTATTCGACCGATGACGAATCTCGTAGTTATACTGTTGCAGGAACATTGCCCAACGTGCTATTCTCGGGTTAATGTCCTGCTTCGACAAAGTTAAACGAAAACTGTCGCAATCCGTAACAATAACAAACTCGATACCATACAGGTATGTTCTAAATCTCTTAATCGCTCTTACCGCTGCCAAACACTCTAATTCAAAACTGTGGTAACGCGACTCGGGAGGGGAAGTGCGCTGGCTGAAGTACGAGATTGGTCTCATCTTCCCACTTGGCTGCTTTTGCAAAAGCACCGCCCCGAACCCACTGGCACTGGCATCACAGTGCAATTCCGTTTTTAAATCGGGCGAATAAATGGCAAGCACTGGTTGTGTCGACAAAAAACTCTTTAATTTTTGAACGACCTCGAGCTCTCTTTGACCGAAATTAAACTCTGCGTTTTTTTTATAAGATCATAAACTGGTTTCGCCAAAACCGAAAATCCCGGGATAAATCTGCGAAAATAACTAGCGAGACAAATAAATCGGTGTAATTCCTTAACATTTCTGGGTATCGGATAATCCAGGACAGCGGCTATATTTTCATGACTAGGACGAATTCCTTCTACGTTTACTCGATACCCGAGATAAGTCACCTCACTACAAGCAAAATGACACTTGTCAAGGCGAAATTCTAATCCGTACTTTTTTGCAGTAGCGAATACTTCCCGTAAAATTTGCAAGTGTTCATCTATTGTGTACGTGGCTATCACAATATCATCGAGATACAACAGTACCTTATTTTCTCGCAACAATCTGTCAAAAATCTCGTGAATATAACGTTGAAAAACACGCGGTGCATTCGTCAGACCAAGTGGCATGCGCAAAAATTCGAACTGGCCAAGAGGTGTGACGAATGACGTGTACTTGACCGAAGACTCCTCCACCTCTACGTGGAGAAATCCATCCTTCAAATCCAAAGTGGTATAAAACCTTTTATTTCTTAACCGATCCAAATTATCATCTATTAATTGAGTGGGAAAGTTATCTTTAATCGTTATCTTATTTAATGCCCGGTAATCTATGCAAAGCCGTATTTCCCCATTTTTTTCGTATCAACACTATCGGACTTGCATATTGAGCTTTACTCGATCTAATTATCCCTCTCCGCACCCAATCATCAAGAATAACTCGCAACTTCTCTTTCTCCACGAATGCTAATCTTCGGGGTCGAAAACTTATCAGTTGATCGCTAGTCAAACTAATAGTCAACTTTACTAGAGAATCTTTATCTATCAACTCCGTTCCATCAACGTACTCTATTTGAAATAATCGTTCTATTTCTTCCTGTAAAGAAAAGTCAAGATCAGGCGAGATCTGTAATCGAGATTTTGTCGACAAAACATCCGACTCAATTTGTAAAAGTTGTTTCTCGAAATCATCCGAATGAGACTCAACCTCGGCCCTCGCCAGCCCCACTATTCGATCCAACGACAATCCTACGGAAGGGTGACAAATAAAATCTCTACCGAGAATAGCTTCGTAACTCATAGTATCGTCCGGCACGACACAAAATTCCATATTCGCTACAAATTCAGAAACCGTTATCTCGACATTAAAAGTACCTATTACATCAAGTTTTGACATATTGATACCGCAATAATTCCGATCATTTGATTTTGGCAACGTCAGCGGGACGTGCTCGACATTACAAGCCTTTATCATACTAATCGGAGAACCTGTATCAATAATAGCACTCAAAGGATACTCACGCCCATCTACTCGAAATCTTACCCCCACCAAGTATGCAGGCGGCACCGTTGCTGGTTGAACTACGTTGACCGTCGACTCCTGGATTACTCTCGCTGTACAATCCTTTATTAAGTGATCAGCTGATCCACACCGGTAACAAGCACTCGTCACTGCTGCTTTTGTACACTTCGTTGACACATGACCCAACTCTCGACAGCGATAACATCTGACACTTCGACGCTGCTCCGATGTTCCTCCCCCTTCTGGTTGACGATCTGGGGGTTTTCTCCCATCTCTTCGCACCTTGACATCACGATCCACCCCACTCTTATTTGATTCCAGAGTAATTTTCCGAAATGCCAAAAGCAAAGCATTAGGCGTAGTGAGGTTTAGCATTCTTGCTTGATTCTTTAAATTTGAATCACTAATTCCATCGATTATATAGTCGACCATTTCATCTTCTGGTATCGGTACCTTACCACCAAGTATTATCTTCTCGTGGAAATAATTAGGAAAAGACTCTCCTACTTTCCACTTTCTGGATTCGAATTCTCTGCGTAATTCGAGTTTTGTTTCTCGTTGATCGAACATGTCTCTCATCCGCTCGATAAGTGTCCTAAATGATGCGCTGACATGTTCCGGCTTTGACTGGAATCAATTTTGAGCTTTTCCTCTCATCTTCGACATCATCAACAATTTTGTGCTATTATCATCCAGATCATATGTTTCACGAATCAGGCGTAATTGTTGCTCCCACTTCCAGAACTCGCCGGTTCCATCGAATTCATAAAGCATTTCCCCTATCGTTCTAATACTAGTAGTATGAGAGTGGGAGCTTTGCGTTCTTGTCGACGCTTGTGACGTCCCTCTCTCGTTTCGCAAAAGTTCCGTCTCCCTCTGCGCAAGATCCCTTTCTCTCCTTAGCAGTTCGATTTCTCTGCGCATTAAGTCGACGTCCAATGACTCTCTTGAATTAGTTGATCTTCGTTCCAAATTTTCATGCTCAGCGCTGGCTCCATCTTCACTTGGACGAGTATTGTCGTCACCATGGACATCCAGTCTCAAGATCAAATCGGCCTTGTTCCCGGAAGTCGGGAGTCCTCTTGACTGTAACGCGTGTTTCAACTGTACCACAGTGAAATTAGTTCCAGGATTGGTCTCCATTTTCCGAATCCTCACGCGCACACAGCAGCACGAATTCACAAAAGAACACGATTCGACTACAGTAAATGTGTCGTTCCAACACACTTTATTCCACAGAAATGGCTTTCTTCGTTCGCGCACTCAGATGAAAAACCAACCACTTCTTTTGCACACAGCAAATTTTCTATAAAATCACTATAGAAATGGCTTTCCTCGTTCGCGCACACAGCAGCAAACTACTCGCTATCTTGCACTCAGCCAGCGACCTCAGGAACATCACCATAGGAACAACTTCCTCGTTCGCGCACACAGCTGCGAAACCGTTTAAATGCACTCAGCAATTTTGTCGTCTTTTGTGCACACAGCAACAAAACTAATTGTACCGAAACGGTCTCTCTGATCCACGCGGTAATAACGTCTTTTACTCCGAACCGTTCCCGCTCTTTTTTCAGTGAACTTTTATCTCCGAATCCCACTTCTGATAGTTGTAAGATTATGAATAAATGGATAGGCCTTCGGGCAAAATTGGAAAAAGCAATTATGAGACGAGCGTCTTTCGTTAAAACATTAAAACAGTTTATTTAACTCGAGTCACATTTTACATATAAAAGACTAACAGACGGACGGATGGATCAAGACCAGGTACAACGACGACGACTCTACGACTGATTACTTCCCGCTATTTTACAAAATCACCCCCCTTAGTTATCAATCTTTGCCCGCCAAATCCGAAATTATGTACCGCCAAATCATTGCCAATATAATAAACGACAATACTCTATTTTACATTTCTTACAAAATTAATATCAAAATTATTTAAAAATATAAGTTATAAATTTTCTAACAATTTATGACAAGTTAATGCGGTATTTAAGTAAAAAACTTATAAACAATTGTTAATAAGTATTTAGCTTTGAAATTAAAATAGACATATTGTAATGTTTCATGTGCTTCTAATTTTATTATGTACTAACCTATCTCCTTTACATAGTCCAGTATCTTCTACTGCCCAATCGACATAAAGCCCTGGTTCCTCCTCTCTTGGACCAGCTCCAAATCGTGGACTCTTCGGATCAGCACTTACTTCCACTGCGTGAATCGTTTCCTGATTAGCTCCAGATACGCAACTGAAATATTCTTTACTTTTCTAAATAATTTCAGACCATAATTTTTATATATTAAAAAATTAAATGTAAAAAAAAACCGCTGCCAAGTTGTACATTTTTATAATTTTGGTGTTCATTTCATGAACACTTTGCTTCCTCATAGAAATAATAATAATTTAAATATGATAATTACTTTTAATAAAAGGGTTAAAAATCATTAAATCTTGGTCCAATAAATGTGTTTCTATATATTCCATAAGATGGTTATAATAGTTTAATAATTACACATAAGTTAATAAACAAGAATGTTGAAAAAATGATATTTTCCACAATTTTTGATTTTTCAAATACCAATAATTTCATAATTTCTGACCGAATCAGGTTCAAAAATAGGTCAATCGATGCGTTTTTTAATGCTCTTCAAGTTCGTGATAATATTTCTAAAGTTACTTCTACAGTAGAATTCCAATTATCCGGATTCCAATTATCCGGACGTCCGATTAACCGGATTGTCGATTTAAAGAAAAACAGTTCTGCGGTTTTGAAATTTGCTTCTGATTTGGAATGTACGGATAGAAACCTGTCCAGAAAAGTTATGGAAACCTCTCAAAATAAAGAACTTGAGGCGTCAATGTTTAAATGGTTTTTTCAGCAGCGTTTTAAATAGCAGATTGAAATCTTATTACTTAAAATATATAAATCTTATGCTCATTTCGATTATCCGGATTTTCGCTTACCCGGATCGGGTCTGGTCCCAATTGATCCGGATAATTGGAATTCTACTGTACATCATTTAAAAAAATGTTCATAAAAGTGTTATTTTTCGAATTTTTAGATTTTTAAAATTTTCATATCTCCGGCTAATATGGACGAAAAATTTTCAATGAAGGCTCAAAAGATGCGTCTGAAAGACTCTACAAAACTAAAGAAAAACATTTATAGGTCCTAACATTTTTTTAAGTTATGGCCAAAAAACGTTTTTTTACAAAATGAAAAATGCAAAAAAAATATAGTAAAACTTTATGAATCGGGCTGAAAATACTCTCATTTTATGTCCCCCGGGGAGACCTACAATTTAAAAAAAAATTGAAACCTTTAGCTCTTTCTCGTTCTGAGATATTGAGGCAAATGTAATGTTAGTACACACACACATCGGGACATTTTTTTAAAACCCGTTTTTTGGACTTCTGAGGTCAAATTACATATAAATTTTTATATATATTTATTTATAACGTTTATACGGGCAGTGCCCATTCGTACATAAAGTACTAAAAGATTAGCTATAATGAAAATAAATTTATAAATATGTCAAAAAATCACAATCGAAAATTTTGCTAATACAATCCTTCCTCTATGAGGAAGCGATTAGGATAAAATTAAGATCGAAATTATTGTCAACATTGTCATTAATTGTCAATTTTTCACTGAGAAACATATTGAGGTGGTAAGAAGTGAGATGTTTTGGACATTCGTTGTATTGATGATTCTATTAATCTTAATAGGTTATTCAAAAGTATAAAATTTTAATTTTCAATAATAAGGATATTAGGAGAAGATTAGGTATATTGAAGAATAGAACAAAGAGAACATTTATTCAAAGAAAATAGAAACACATTTGTATTAAAAAAAAGTAATTATACTGCACCTGAAAATTGTGTCACTCTTTTGCTTCTCTTGGGTTTCCGCTAATTCGAGCGCTGCTTGAAGTGCTCTGCTTTCTTCTCTGAGAGTCAAGAGTTCCAACTCTTCTCTTCCTAGTCTGTACTCTAATTCCGCTTGTTGAATTCTTACATCTATATTGCTATAAAACGTACAAATAAAAATTTCTTATGAAATTGCAAGTGATGCTCATTTATAATAAATAATATTTGTAAAGAAGCTAAAATTCCAATATACTTAGGTTCCTGATTATTATGTAGGGGAGACTGGGGTAAACCCGCTCACTTTTTTTCAGATCGGTAAAAATCTAGGAAATTATTCTCTAAATCCAAGTTAATTTATATCATTTGAAAGCTTATGATTTCTACTAAAAAAATAAAAAAGAGTTTTTGATTTATCTTTTTTAGTTTTACTTAGAGAAACTTTTTAATAAACATATACCAAATTTCGAAATCACAATTTTCCAGGGTAAACCCGCTCACTTTATCTTTTCAAGACGGAACAGTTTTATTTTTTAAATATTAAAATTCGTCTTATTACCGTCTTAAGTATGATTTATTATTGATAATTTATGAGTTATATAAACAATTCTATAAACAACAAATTGGTTTAATAAATAATGAACATAGATTTCATGAATTACAACTATGGATTTAAATATAGTAAATATTTTATTAAGAGAAAGTGAAATGTAGTTACAATTTTGGTTTTAATAAGTCATAAATTGTGTTATTGTTGAAATATAATACGTGAAATTATTTTATTCTAAATTTTAAATTTAAAACTAAGTGAGCGGCTTTACCTCGACTTCACGTGAGCGATTTTACCCCGAGTGTATTCCTCACATTTCAGAATAAATTTAATTAAAACTATATATGTACTTCGATGAAGGACATCCAATAGTAACAAAAAAAATTTGCCAGATAAATTAAGACTCAAAAATAATGATCGAAAAACTTAAAAATCCAAAATACGTTTTTTTTTCTGACACCTCTAAAAACATTTGATCGTCTCTGATTCTATGTTGAATTAATGAAACTAAACGAAAGTTCGTTAATATAAGTTGAATGTTAAGTACTATTCACAGTACCAATATTTCCATCTTAAGTTGAGTTCATAGCGTCAAATCGCTAGTGAGCGGGTTTACCCTGTGCGCGGGTTTACCCCAGTCTCCCCTATATTAAGAACAAATCATTTAAATTCAAATATAGAAATAAGAGAAGGAGCAAGTTTCCAAAACCTGATAAATCCATATTTTATTCTAAAAAATTGAAACTAATGATCTTCTTTACATAAACACTATACAGTTAATTTTATGATAGAAATTTAAAAAAAAGTATTAAAACGATAATATATCCAGTAAGATGAGGTTGATTAAAATAAATTAAAATGATTACAAGCATGACTCATTTTTCCACCATTACGTATTTTAACTATAATAATTTTTTATATTTCTAACTAATATTGAACACATTTTAGACTAATTGCATTTTCCAGGGTTGCCACGCAACCTGGAAACCTGGAAAAGTCAGGGAATTTTGATTGGAATCCGGGAAAATTATTGTTTTCTAAAGTTATTGTGCTTATTCTTCAAATCTAATTTTTCTTTAATTCAATTTTAAAAGAGTTGCCTTTACAATTTTTCTTCGCGATAATTCAATTATTTTCATAAATAATCAAAAAATTTGTAGATTTACAATTATTTTCATAAATAATAAAACTCATCGCAAAATTTCAATTATTTTCAATACAATTTTAATGGAATTTCTCGAAAAATGTATAATTATTCTTAAAAATTTTATTCAAATTCATCAAAGAAATTCAATTATGGTCAAAAGTTTAAAAAATGTATCGTCAAAATTTCAATTATCTTTATAAATATTAAAATTTTTCTCCAAAATTCAATTATTTTCAAAAATTTTAATGAAATTCTTTTTAACCAATTCAATTTTTTTTAAATTCTCCTCCAGTCAATGATTTTTAATATCTACTATTTTAATAAAATTTTCCAAAAGAAATGAATTATTTTAAACATTTTTTATAAATTTCTTCGCAATAAATCTGTTATTTTCAAAAATATTCAATTTATGTTTACAGAGATTCAATTATTTCTATAAATATGTGATTTACAGGGATTCAATTATTATTTTCATAGATAATGAAACTCATTGCAGAATTTCAATTATTTTTGATACAATTTTAATCGAATTCTTCGAAAAATGTAATTATATATATTTAAAATTTTATTAAAATTCGTCAATAGAATTCAATTATTTAAAAATTTGTTAATAAAATTCTTTATGAGAATTGAATTTTGAGAAACATTCAATTATTCAATAAATTATTTATTTTTTTATTAAAAATAATTAGGTATTTAAAAAAAATATTATTAAAAAATTCGTCTCAAGAATTCAATTATTTTCAAAAGTAATAAAATTCTTAGCAGAAATTCAATTATGGTCAAAAGTTTTAAAAAAGTTATAGTCAAAATTTCAATTATTTTTATAAATATTAAAATTTTTCTCTAAAATTCAATTATTTTCAAAAATTTTAATAAAACTCTTTGCAATATTTCAATTATTTAAAAAAATTTTAATAAAATTCTTGACAAAATTTCAATTATTTTTAAAAACTTTTCTCAATTCAATGAAATTTTTTTTCAGAGATTCAATTATTTTGAATACATTTTTAATCTAATTTCTCGAAACATGAAATTATATTCTTTAAAATGTTATTGAAATTCGTGAAAAGAATTTTAATTACCTATTTAAAAATTTGTTGATAATATTCTTTAAATGAGAGTTGAATTTTAAAAAACATTGAGTTCTTCAATAAATTATTTTTTTTGTATTTAAATAATTGAATTGTTGTAGAATTTTCTAATAATAATTGATGCAAATATGAATTTCAGTTAAAACTTTAGAAAATAATTGAGTTTTGAAAAGCAGGTCACAAATTATAATCTTTGAATGTTTGAATTTTTCATACTTTTAACTTAAAATTGTGTAGATTTAATTTTTTTTGTAAAAGTTGAATTGAATTTTTTTGAAGTTATTTGAAGTTTTTATTTTCTAATATATATTTGATTTAAGAATTTCCGAATACCTTAATAATCGATGAAATTTCGTAAAATTGAATTGTAAACAAAAGGATTTGAAAATGTTGAAAGTAATTTTTCAGAAATTATTAATAATAATTAATTTAAACTTTATAAAGAAGAATTTTAGTTAAAAATTGTGGAAAACAATAATTGAATTAAAATAATGAAAGTAATTTTGAATAAGTTACAGCAACAATATTCTTATAATAATAATAGCCCAGATAGCACAAAAACTTCCAAGAAGTTTCCAGGAAGCTTCCCGTGGTAACTTCGGAAGTTACCTTCGGTAATCGCTTGGAGTGATCGATATTTTTATGTTTTATAACAATTTTTTATAAGATGTTTAATTTCAAAAAGGTTTGATTTAAAAATTTTGTAAAATATAAATGTAGTTTTAAAAACCTGGAAAACCTGGAAAATTTAGGGAATTTGAAATCAGTAAAAGCGTGACAACCCTGAGTTTCTATTCAAGGTAAATGTTGAAATAGGGGAAACCAAGATGAATTCCAACAAAAAGATAGTTAGTATTAGTTGCATTAGTAAAATTAATGTGATTACGTCACATTGTCAATATTGTAAATTGAAAAGAGAAACACCAAAAGTACCAATAATGGGGAAATTGCCTTCAGCGAGGTTAGTGTATAAAAATCGTCCGGGATGGAAGATTATTGACGGGAATGGAGATTATTCTGAATAGAGCAAACTTAGATGCGGGCTTCATCACTGTCCTCATAGTTCTCTTCAATCTATTTAAAACAGATCTTGGTGATGGAGTTAAGTTTCGTAAATATCATAAGTATGCTGATGACTTTAAACTACTCATCGGATCCATTGTCATCGTTATCAGATTTAATGAAAATGGTTCAGCATTGCATTGACTATGTGGTAGATTGGTCAAATAGCAATTGTTGTACGGTATATGACGATATTACTGATGAACTAAATGCTAAGTTGGAAAGATCTTTAAATGCGTTTTGTAATTTTATTTTTAACTTGTCTAAGTTTGAACATGTTACACAATATAGAATTAAATCTGGGTTGTTGACAGCTGCAGAAAGAAGGCAATCTATTATATTCAATTTTTGATAGTAAGACTCCATCATATTAGTACAATTTTTTAATTTAAAAATATTGACGAATAAAAATAGGCTATGAGAAGGAAGAGATACTATGAAAATACCCTCACATAGAACTTGTAAAATGTAAAATATTCTTAATTTATGTAAAATTGGCACTTATTGTCTAAGATTGGGATTATTAGAACATTGTAAGTATATATTACAATTGTTTTGAAGTAATTTATGAATATTTAAGAGAATTTTTTTTCACAATTGGTTTGGAAGTTTGCGTCAAGTTAATAGTAATTTATATTCAAACTATTAATACCGAGTTAGAAATTTTTTGTAATCATTTTAATTTATTATAATCAACTTCTTACCGATCAGTGTGACTCACTCGGTATTATCTGAGCGTTCAAGCGCTAACTTCAGACTTTTAATGGCAAGTTTCTTATTGTCAGCATCTCGATGCAATCTTTGAAGACGTTCTTCAGTTGTTTTTCTATCTGTATCCTTCAGAGGAGGTGCTCCATTGCGCAAAGCTAACCTGTTACTCAGCGTATTGCAGAGTTGTCCCTTCAGTCTGTAACAAAAACAATTAATTGAATGGTTGCTAAATCCCTTACAAATTCGTTGTAGCATAATGAGACTCCTAAATCATGATGCAATTTATAGTCATATTCAGGAAAGGTTTATTGGGTGGGACAGAATCATTTTACTAAAAGTGATAACGTTAGATCTAAGGTCAATTCTACCAACACCAATTTAAAGTTAATCGTTGATTAAAGCCAGTGTCACTGCTTACAATTGGTTAGTTATTGGCGTCATGAAGGGTGTGGTGTGCTTTGAGTAATTTACCGAATTGTCGGTAAAAACTTTAAAAATCACCAGTAGTAAATTATGAAGAGGGTTTTTATTGATTTACCGGTAAACGGGTAACGGATATGATGGGTATTTCAATCCCTAATTTAAATCTACATAGGGATCTTAAGTATTGACCTTAGACACAAAATAAATAATAGTATGATTTCTCTTACGTTTGTATGATATTTTCTTTATCTCGTAATGCAATGCGAAGGGAATCAAGTTCCTTACAGTGATCTCGATTGCGATGACTTGCAGGTGAGGTGATACCACCAGATATACTATTTCCCTTCTTCCGCCTTGGGGTTGTTGAAAGTGATACCTCAATACTTGCCATCTGTAAAAAGATAAAACATAATTTTATCATTTTGATCAGTTTTAGTAATTGGTGTTTAACGCTTTTTTCCTTTTCACTATTTCTGAGCACTTACACAGCCGATTAAATTTTATTTAGTCACATTTTAGCACTTACTTTTGCTTCTAGTGTTTCTAGTTGAGCCATTCTTGGTTCGAAAATTGGTTGTTGTAGTCCAGATCCAGTATGCAGAGCAGTCTGAAAATAAAAGTGTACAATTATTGATGGTCCAAAAATACGAAAGTTAATGAATATGGAAAAAATGTTTGGATTTTATTATAAAACACTGATACGGTAACATTTAACAGTGCAAAAATTAATATTTCTTCATTACGAAGAAGGAATATGAAAACGAAGACAAACGGCGCGGCGTATACACATTCACGAGGTATTAACATTAATGGGAGTAATGTAGGAGAGGTATGGCGAACAGCTGGTCGAAATTAGTGTAATGGGAAATGCGCGTAATGGTCAAGAGTGTCAATCCGTAAAGATCTTACCAGGATTTCAAGACATCGAGGTTACTGTATGAAACAATTCAGTGAGAGTGACAATTTCCCTATAGAATGATGGATCCCTGATCTTGAAGACGTCGCGTTACGGTTTAAATGGACTGATTTACAAAGACTAGTATTTGCTAAGAAAACGTGAAAAAAGTATTGTTGATATGATTTTGGAAGCTGTTTTATTAAACAAACCATCGTCATGCTTTTATGTAGATGGTCCTGGTGGATCACACATCACAAAACTTTTGGAATGCCAGTACCTTTGTTTTCAGACTCAGTTACAAATTTCAAAATCAAACTAAAGATGCTGAATACTTACTTGAAGCAAGTTGATGTCTTTATCTGGGATGAAGGACCAATGTCATCACCTTAGGCTTTAGAACTAATTGATAGAACTTTGCGTGATTTTATGAGCGTAGAAGTAGATTTACTTGGTGGAGGTTTCAGGTAACTTTTACCTGTAAAAATTCATGCTACTCGAAGTGAAATGGTCTAATTTGTCAATTAAATTTAATTCTCTTTGGATAACGTCTCATTACATACACCGACTAATAACATGCGAACTTTATCAGGAGACAGAATTTGCAAAATTCCTATTATCTGTTGGTGATGGAATCTTAAATGATAAATATAATAATTTATTACTACCAGAGAAATGTGTAGCCCCAAAATCTAATGATAGGGGTGAGTGGGTCAAGACGGGGTACCGGCCTTATTTAATAAACGAATTAACCAATCGCGATTATATTTTACATAATACTGCACCGAGACGATAGTTTCTTGTTTATAAAACCTAAAAGCCATGAGAACAAATCTTTTATCTGTTATTCTGTTTTACTAAAAAAACTGTTTTCGACGATTTTCTTGTGATTTTTTCACTTTTTTTAGGAGGTTTTTATTATTTAATAATAACAGTTAATAAACTATATAAAATTTTTTATAACTGGCAAGGGTTACAGAAGAAGGGAAGCATATGTTATAATACTTACCATAGATATACTCCGTTGCTGTGTTTGCAATCCTGGGTCATCTTTTTTACTACTGCAGTCTGTTGTAGAGAAAAGAATACTCCTGTTAGACTCTCTGAAAAGTTAAAGAAAGGGTTTTGTTAGTAATATTAATATTAGTTATATTTATGTATTAGTTTAAAAGGTATACGCTATGTATAAGCGTTTTTTTTATTAATTTTCTCAAAACAAGGATTCAGACGCTTGTCAAATTATCGCTACATTTTTAATATTTACGCTTTCTTTCATGTATATTTATAAAAATACTAGATTACCGTTTATTAGAAAATTTGCACTATATACAACTGTTGCGTTTAATGTATCTGGTATAATTCACATTTTTGTGGAATCTACTTTTGTGAAAATAGGATTATTTATATCTTTTTGTGTGTGTATTGATCCACATAGCACCTAGATATTCAGAATTTCCTACGGACATCCTAAGGCACGGTTTGCCGGTAAAGTGTTTTATCAAAATTGTTGGGTATCTTTGACTTTCTTTTTGTAAATAATAGTTCTAGCTGCACATCAAGTTTTATCAAAATCTGTTGGCTGATTCTATCTCAATTTTTTTATTTAGCAAAAAAAAAAAATTTTTAGCTGAATTATGAGTGTTGAAAATTTTAAGACATATCGTGATTTTATAGCTAAACAGCTGACAAATTATTTTCAAATCTTTCTAGTTTTTGCAAAAATAAATATTTTTCAATTTTTTTTCTTGATTTTAGTAGTGTTTTTGATACTTTTTCTTTGCAAACTTGAAAATTTAAAAAATTTTGAAAATTAACAAAATGGCGACCATTTTCCGAAAAATCAAAAAAGTCAATTTTCTCAAAAACATCATTTTTTATTTTTCTTAAAATTTTTGTGTGATTACTAGATGAAAAAAGGAATTAATTTTAAAAGGTTTCATGTCCGCTAAAACTGTTTGGAAGTCGCAATAATTTTTTTTCAGAAAATAACAAATCTCATTATTTTGAATAATGTATCGGCATATATATATTTTGCATGTTTATGTTTTTCGATGATTAGTAGTGTTTTTGGTACCTACTTTTTATTTGCAAACTTGAAAATTTTGAAAATTAACAAAATGGCGGCCATTTTTCAAAAAATCGAAAACTAAAAATACTAAAAATAATTGAATAAAAATATTCATTTGGAGGTTTTTGTAGTCGCTGAGTTAGAATATTTGGTTAAAATTTTATAATTCAAAATGGCGACCAAAAAAATTTAATGGTCGCCATTTTGTTAATTTTTAAAATTTTTAAGTTTGCAAATAAAAAGTACCAAAAACACTACTAATCATCGAAAAACATAAACATGCAATAAATATATATATGCCGATACATTTATACTCGTATCAACTCTCTAAAACTGAATCAGTGAAATTTGATTGAGAATCACTGACTCTATTGTCTATTCTCGCAATTTGAATCAGTGAAATTTCACTGAAGATCAGTTAAAAATGATTGAAATTTCTGTCATTTTTCACTGATTGGCCAATTAAAGAATAGCTGAAATCTTCAATATGTGTGACAGAAATTTTCAGTAGTTTATTAATTGGCGAATCAGTTAAAAATAACTGAAATTTCAGTTATTTTTAACTGATTTTCAGTGAAATTCCACTGATTCAAATCGCAAGAACAGAGTCACTGATTCTCAGTCAAATTTCACTGCTTTTCAGTGGAATTTCACTGATTCAGATTTAGAGAGAAAATAATGAGATTTGTTATTTTCTGAAAAAAATTATTGCGACTTCCAAACAGTTTTAGCGGACATGAAACCTTTTAAAATTAGTTCCTTTTTTCATCTAGTAATCACACAAAAATTTTAAGAAAAATAAAAAATGATGTTTTTGAGAAAATTGACTTTTTTGATTTTTCGGAAAATGGTCGCCATTTTGTTAATTTTCAAAATTTTTCAAATTTTCAAGTTTGCAAAGAAAAAGTATCAAGAACATTACTAAAATCAAGAAAAAAAATTGAAAAATATTTATTTTTGCAAAAACTAGAAAGATTTGAAAATAATTTGTCAGCTGCTCTGTTTAGCTCTAAAATCATGATATGTCCTAAAATTTTCAAACACTCATAACTCAGCTAAAAAATTTTTTTTCGCTAAATAAAAAAATACGTGTCTCTTTAATTGTCCTAAAGAACAAGAAAAATTACCTTTAACTTGATTTAGAATTTTTAACCTATTCGCTCTACATGAATTGAAATAGAATCAGCCTGTTCGTTAATTCAATTATCGATAGAACCTCCTTAAGATATATTTTGGCCTCAGTTCTTATAACGCCCCGAGTTATACCATTTGTAAAGTAATTAAAGATACCAGTCAATATAGATAAGTAACAGGTTGTTATTCTTTCCGTAAAAACTACTGAACTGATTGCCTGGCACTTTCAACTATCATTTACAATAAGAAAATCGGAGATACCGGACAATTTTTAAATTAAGACCATATACCTGAGCGTTTGTCCATTTCGATTAAATGCATGAGTATCAATGAGCACGGGCGAATCTGTATAGCACCGGCTCTTGTTCATTGCGGGATTCGCATGTCTTGTCCAAAAAGCACTTCTCAGAATTGCATCTGAAAAAAAATTGTTTTTCTCAATTACATGCATATGCAATCATTTCTTTTAATTATTAATGCATTCTGGTATTTACTAAGATTACATATTTTAACTCATTCCGTACGCGATAAAATTTAAATTTTCATAACTTTTACTCAAATTTTGATCAATTTTAGTTTCAAATGAGTGCTTTAAAAAGCATTTTTCGTCAGCTTTTCCAAAAAATATTGATTTAAAAAAAAATAAAAGAATAAATTTAAAAAAATTAAAACAATAAATTTAAAAAAATTAAAAGAATAAATTTAAAAAAAATAAAAGAATAAATTAAAAAAAAAAATAAAAATGGAGAAAGGAATAAAATAAAAAACATAAGTTTGACATGATTGAATTAAGAATTATAAGCAATTATTTTGCAGTCTCATGGTGTAAACAAATAAAAGTGAATAATCTACATGCATTGTTTGCATAAGTCAATTTCCAATTAAATAATTAAAATAATGTAAAAGTTCAGTTTAAACCATTAGGTTTATTAAAATAAACCGAAAATTTCTTAATTATCCTGCACCACCTGTCGACAGGTGTTGGGGGCGTATTAAGCCGCCCTCTGAAATAAAAACCCTCTGTTTGTCGTCTGCATTCCCATGAAGCAGTGTAAGCCGTGACTTTGACTTTAAAAATATTCATGAAAATTGCAAAAAAATTTTTTTTTTTATTTTTGTACTAAAAGTTCATCAATATTGTGTAAGATATTGCTTCTAAAGACACTCCAATTGAAAACAATCACCTATATTTGATCGTATCAATTTTGTACATGTATAATTCTCGTGCTAAATGTAAATTTAAGAATTTTAATTTTTCCTAAAAAAATATGAATTCGACAATGTCACTGTTTTCCAAAGTAAGCATTTACAGATACTTTTGTTACAGAAAAACTTTATATTAGTCTTTATTATTAGTGCGGAAGAAAAATTTACATATTTGAATAATTGTTGAATAAAATAAATAAAAAAAACACCTCAATAATTGAAAGTGGAAAGAAAAAAAATCAAATTTTTTTGAAAACTTTTCAAAATTCAATTATTTGTAAACATTCAAGCTATATTGCTTTTAATATTCAATTATTATGTAATATTTAAACTAAAATTCATTTTAAAAATCAATTTTTTTAAAATTCTATGAGAATTCAATTATTTAAATACAAAATAAAGAATTTATTGAATAATTAAATGTTTCTTAACATTTAATTTTTATAAAGAATTTTATCATCAAATATTTAAATAATTGAATTATTTCGATGAATTTTAATAAAATTTTCAAGATTAGAAAATAAAATTATATTTTTCAAAGAATTTGGTTAATATTGTATTAAAAAAGATTGAAATTCTGCGATGAGTTTTATTATTTATAAAAATAATTAAATTGCTTCAAAAAATTTTATTATTTAAGAAAATAATTGAATTATTGCAAAGAAATTTAAAAAAAATTTATTAATTGAATTCCTGTGAAATTTTTATTATTTATGAAAATAATAAAAATAATACTTTAATACTATTACGAAAAGATTTTAAAGATAATTAAATTTTACAAAGAATTCTATTAAAAAATTTGACAATAATTGAACGTCTGTAGGAAATTTTATTCAATTTTTTTTTTAAATAATTGAATTCCTAAAAAGAATTTTATTATTTATGAAAATAATTGATTTTCTTGCGAACGATTTATTAGAATTTTTAAAGTAATGAAATTTCAAAAAAAAATTTATTACTTTTAAAAATAATTGAATTATTGTCATGAATATTGTTATTTATGAAAATAATTGAAATTTGAACAAAATTTTATTAAAATACCTCAAAATAATTGAATTTTCTTGTTTATCGACATAATTGAATTCTTTCGAAAAATTATTTGTGTAAATAATTGCATTTTTAGAAAAAATTTTATTAAAATTTTAATTTAATTTAAATCCTTCTATGAATTTTATTATTTATGAAAATAATTGAATAGTTGCTAGGAATTTTATTATAATTCTCAAAAATAATTGCATTACAGAGAAGAATTTTATTATTTTTGAAAGTAATTGAATTCTTCATAAGAATTTAATTATCTCGTTTCTTAATATTTTTGTAGGAAATTCCCAATTTTCATAAGGAAACAATTTGCATCATTTCTATTTCTTAATTACAATTGCTTTAATAAAAATTAAAGTTTTTTAAAAATTAATGAAAAAAATGTTTATAAATTCTATTTGTCGATTAGAAAGTGAAACTTTTAAAATTTTTAGAAAATTGAAGGAAAAAGTTTTAGTCAAAAAAATGATCTGTTACATTTATTTACAAATTTCTTTCAAATTTTTCGAAAACATCAATAACTTCTTTTTTAAATAAATATTTAATTATTATTTTTCCATAGGAAATAAAATTCTTCAAAAGATTCAAATTCAAACAAAATTTTTGTAATTATTTTTTATGAAAATAATTGAATTATTGAGAAAAAATTTATAAAACATTAGTAAGTAATTGAATTTTGCAGAATAATTTTGATATTTACAAAGATAATTGAAATTTTGAGGAGAATTTTAAAAAAATTTCGAAAATAATTGATTTTCTGGAAAGAATTTTCTTACTTTTGAAGATAATTGAATTTTGCAAAGAATTTTATCAGAACTTTTGAAAATAATTAAATTTCCTGGATTAATTTTATTATTTATGAAGATTAATAAAATTTTGACAAGAAATTTAAAAAAAAATTTGAAAATAATAGAATTTCTAGGATGAATATTTTTATTTATAAAGATAATTGAAATTTTGACAAGAATTTTATTATTATTTTTACAAATAATTAAATTTCAGAGAAGAATTTTATTATTTATGAAGATAATTGAAATATTGAACAGATTTTTTTTAAATATTTAAAAGTAATTGAATTTTGCAGAAGAATTTTCTTACTTTTGAAGATAATTGAATTTTGTAAAGAATTTTATCGAGAAAATTTGAATTTGAAAAAAAAATTTGAATATAATTGAATTTCTGCGAAGAATTTTATTATTTATAAAGATAATTGAAATTTTGACAAGAATTTTATTAAATTTTTGTTTAAATAATTGAATTTAGGAGAAGAATTTTATTATTTATAAAAATATTTTACATTTTAAAGAAAATTTTTTAAAAATGTTAAAAATACCTAATTAAAATTTTGCTTGGAGTTTTATTAAATTTTATTCCGAATTGTTTGATATTAAAGTATGTGTTGTCGAGAAATGTGATTTTTTTACAATTTGACAATTTCGTGTTTTCTTTTTGTCGTTTTTTCTAAAATTCCATGCGACTTTTTTTCGACTTTTTCGGAAATTTTATGTGACTTTTCGTGACTTTTGTTATAAACTTTTGCGACTAAAGCGACTTTTTTTGAGTCTTAAAGTCGATCCGAGCCCTGTTATTTCTATAAACAGTGCAATTTTTTGGAAAAATTCAATTATTTAGAACAAAAAATAATTTCTCTATTTTTAAACCAAATTTTAATAAAATTTCACGTACCAATATACAATTATTTTCTAAAATTTTAATAAATCTTTTAAAGAAATTCAATTCTTTATTTAATATAGTAAAATCTTTGCAAAAATTCAATGATTTTTAATACATTTTTAATAAAATCTCATGAAATAATTCAATTTAAAAAAAATTTTTATAATATTTCTCTAAAAAATTCAATTATATTTATAAATAGTAAAATTCTTTAGAAAAATTCTATTTTTTTATTAATTCGTTATAAAATATTTCAAAAGAATTTCATTATTTTCTAAAATTATATAATAAATATGTTAATAATTAAATGTTTAATTTCAATTATTAACAGACACGATTATTTTAAAATCTTGAATAAAATTGTACATAAAATTCAAGTATTTTAAAAATTTTTAATTCAAATTATTAAAAAAAACTCTATTATTTAAAAAAAAATTTTAAGAAATTATTCAAAAAGAATTTAATTAGAATTTTCAAAAATTTTAACAAAATTCTTTGTGAGAATTCAATTATTTACCAAAATAATAAAATTCTTTGAAGGAAAATTAAATTATTATTAAAGTTTTTGATAAAATTTTTTTGCAACAATTCGGTGATTTTCAATAGAGGTACATTAATTTTAAAATTGAAAATATTTAAAAAGAAAAATGATTAAAAATATTAAGGTACAAAAAAGCAAACAAAACTAACTTTAAACTGCGAAAAGATTACAGGAATACAATGATTATTAATATAGATAATATAGTTTGTCACGAAATATTTAAATAAATTCTTTCTTTTTTGTGTTTTATTTTTTAAATTATCTTAAAAATATTTATCCTTTACATAAAGAAAGAAATTTCAAAAGTTTCATGCCTTAAAACAAAGTTTTGATTTTATACAATTTACTGTATGTAAAAAACAATTTTTAATTTATTTCTTTTAAAAATATTATGAACACTTTAATTTGATTTAGTTTCTACATAATGTAATAATAGTCTAATTTTCTAAAATATACCATAAAAATCAGAGAAATACGAATATCCTATTTAGTAAAGAATTGAAATTATAACTTATAATTTGTATTCCTTTACTCCGAGAGCAACAATAGACCATCTGCTAGGATATATAGAGGCGGATGGAGCGAACCCTTCTAACAATAGGGCCCACGTCAATGGGGGTCAGCTTGACTGTGTGACTCACATACCTAGACTAAGTAAAAATAGAGATTTTAGATAAATATTTCTCTCTCTCTCTCTCTCTATCGAAGAAGAGTAATAAAAATAATATGTTAGAATCTCTTCATATACCTAATTTACATATAATTGGTAAATCTACGAAACTGCATAATTTAACGAAGTAAATATAAAGATTTTCAAATTACAAGCAGTCTAACTTCTTATTCATTTTTTTAAATAAAAATTAGCACTTAAAAATAATAGAATTTAAAAATTTTTTAATCAAATTTTTTTTGTTAAAAATAAAATGTAAATTGGAATATAGTTTAAATATTATTA